ACACACACACACACACACACACACACAAGAAAATTACATCGTTGAAAAGTTTATAAGAATAGAAAAGCTCCACGTTTATCCGAATCATGCTTTCGTTTTGGTTGCAAAATCAACATAGAACTAGATCTTGGCGTACACTTAAGAATGAAAACACTATCAGCGAAAACTACGCACTTACAAAAAGAAAAACTATTTCGTTTAACCCATTCTAACCACACGACAACGCTTGAAGGGTAGGCTATCGGAACGGCGTAAATACGTAACGACATAATATGTCGGAACGGCGTAATTTTTGTTATCGGAACGGGGCATACGTTTTCTTTGATCATGATAATCGAATATTAGTAGGTTCAATTTCGGATATTAAATCGACAGAATACTTAGTGTGCATGTTTGTCTGTTTGCGAGTCACGAGTCCAGCACTTTACCAGTACTTACTGACTATGTGTCCCGTGTTGTGTACAAGGGCGGTGTTGGGAAACTTTAAAAAATAGCACAACTTAGCTTTTCAAACAGATTCATGCTTTCGTTAGCTCAAATTTGACCCCCCCCGCATAAATAATGTTTTTGCTGTTCGTTTATGTACTTCGGTGTTCTCATGCATAGTCCCTGCAATAGTGACCAACAGTGTCAGGCAGAGAACTCTGGTCAGCTACTATAGCAATACATGTACATGACAATATATTATTATGTAGCCTGTTTCGTACGAAAATGGTAGACGTGACGTCATCCCAATGCGTTTTTATGAACCCATAATAAGCAACTCGGACTTACATGGCTGAATACCGCGCTCCTTAGCGTATTTAAGGAAAGTATGGAGAGTTGTATAGCTGAAGATTTGGAGGGGGCGTGGGCGGGGGCGTGGTGAGGAGGCTTAAAGACACAAGAGCGACCCCAAAAAATCGTACCGGGCAGCACATCGCACTACACAGCAGTCCTCCTTATCTGCTGATGCAGTAATTCGAAGCGATTCATAATTAACCGTACTATAGAAGTAGGCTTACTCCCTTAAGCTACCAACGGCCTGGTGTGTTGGACCAAGTAAAGTGCAGGCCATCAGTGTGACAGGCTAGGCTTGTTGACAGATATGTCATCTTATAGTTTGACCTCGGAGGAAAGCGGGGTTGTGTGGGGGTGGGGATGGTGATGGGGAGGGCGGGAGGAACATGTTGTCGTCTGCCCAACTTGTACCTGTCGCTGACGGAAACAAGGACCGTAAGAGGCTCGTGAAGTGACCCATGTGACGTCATCCTTTGTCAGATCAGGTATGAATGGATGCAGATTTAGGTGAGACCCTTATTACAGGCCTTCTTGCCTGCGTAGTGCTATCTTCAAAACCTTTCCTTATTTTGCACAACATATGCGGAGAAAGCGGAAGCAACTTTTTAAAAAAGTAACTACGAATATTCAAGAGAAAAGTACAATAAACCACATTATTTTGCGTATTTATTTATAGATAACGCAGGTAGCTGACTCCATTTGCTCCCTTCTTTGGAGGTAGAAAGAAGAAATAAGAACAATACAGAGGAGAACATGTAATTGCTGGTGTTTTATGTCCCCATTGACAGAGAACAGGGAAGATAAAACCAGGAAAAGAATGGAGGTTGGGGCACTCATTTTCTAAAATGAGATAGATAGATAGATAGATAGAGAGAGAAGAGAGAGAGAGAGAGAGAGAGAGAGAGAGAGAGAGAGAGAGAGAGAGAGAGAGAGAGAGAGAGAGAGAGAGAGAAGAGGAGTCAAGAATATAACGGTAACTAATATTTTTAGATGGCAGAATTGCAACAGAAAACGGAAATGATCATGATCGCGGAAGTTTTTGCCAGTGTTTCAAATACATGTAACAGTGAGAGACCTTCCTATCTACATACCTTTCATCCCTTTCTCAAACAACCTCATAGGGCCTACCTCCTCCTCGGCCCCCATTCTCCTGCATATTACTCACTCATCCACCCCAGATAACGAGAGAACAAAGTTGCTAACGGAATTTAACAAAAATATATTATATCTGTCACCTTCAAACCATGATTGTTTTCTTTTTAGACGCAAAAGGGCGATTCCGGTTCAGAAAGGGACCTAACTTTGTGTGGCGAGAAGACGGATCTTGGCCATCAAAGTGTTCCATAAAGAAGGGAGGGGGCAATGTCATGCGGAGATAAATGTGGATCAGGCACACACGCACGGCGCAGGAGGACGAAGAGGGCGCTAGGTGGTCTATAAAAACAAAGTTGCGGAAAACAACTTCAACACATTAACCAACTTCCCCGTTCGAGACTTTAAGATCTGTCTCGATTGGTCTTGGGGCAATTTCTGTCACGGAATCTCGACCACTAAGAACTCAGGTCGAAGTTTCTTTAGCGCGAACAGATTTCCTAGTTTCATTTTTCCTGTAACAATTACTTTGGCGGCAACAGAACGGCTAGAAGAAAGAAAACAAGGTAAGATTTTTGTTCATGTTCAGTTTTAGTTTAGAAATTTGTTTTACTAGATCTACTTGTATTGAACTAAACTCGTCTATCAGTGAAACTTTTGCAGCTTTTAACACGGTTCGTTTGAATTATTAGGATTTCATGATTCAAAAAGAATTTAAGTTTAGTTATTCTGTTTTAAAATATAAGAAGTCTTTTCTGAGAACATTATATAGATGTATCTGTATGCGAGTTTTAAGTCAATATTTTAGTGTCTTGTGAATTTTTACGCAGAAAGTCGAATGGGTTACAAAGGTTTTAAAAAGTCACTTTAATAAATAATAAAAAAAACTAGCATCGCCTAGGGACTCATAAAGTTTTCCCGTGTTTTCTACCCCCTCCCCTTTCTTCCATTTTCCTCCTCCCTCGTGTTTGAATAGAGTCTAATTTTTATATGATTAAAAACACGCTTTTTTTTCTACCTACCTCCTCCTATGCCCAGCTGTATTAAATAAAGGAATAAATTAAAAAACAAACAAACAACAAAACACCCCCCTAATCTTTAGCTTTAGCCTTCCTCTTATACCACGAGGTATCGTGGGGAGATGCAAATGTCGGACGTGGGCCAGTCGAGTTGCTGTTGGATCATCATGTTGTTCCTTTGGATGGTCTTTTTAACTCCGTCGATCCATCTTTTTCTTGGCCTACCTTTTTCTGTGAAGCCACCGAACTGCATGTTGTAGGCCTTTCAGTGTGGTTGTTATGGCCCTATTCTCATTGCACGTCCAAACCACTTTATTTGTTGTATATCGATGTATTTCATGCCTGATTCGACGCTCCCTGAATGTTTAATGTCTTAATTCCCTTTTCTGTCTCTTCTTATGATGTTTATATGCTTTTTAAAGACACCTATTTCATTTTGCATGCATTTTTTTATATTTTGCTGCGCTTTGTTGAGGGTCCAGGTCTGGCACTGGTAGCAGAGAGCTGGTAAGAAAGTTGATTTGATGAGTTGTTTCTTTATCTCCATCGGGATGTTTTGATGGGAGATAATTGATAAGCGATAGTTGGTATACGTATCATGTGTCCGCATTTGAATTTTTGTACTTGCGATTTAATGTCTCTGTCCATTTTTTCATCTGGTGAGAACAATGCTTCCAAGGTATTTGAATTATTATACCTGTTTCAGTTGTGTGTCATTGACTTGGATATTTAATTAATGGGCGTTGGTTTCTGGAGATCTTAATTATTTCTGTCTTAGTTGTGCTCATTTTCATTCCATATTTCTCACTTGCTTAGTTCATACTAGGCTTATGCTTTTGTAGGCTGTCCTGTTCTTGGTGTTAGAGACTCTGGTCTTCAGCGAAGAGCAGTTCCTTGAATTGTTCCGAGTTGCCGTTTCCTTCCTGTGTTAACCTGTCCATTTAGACTATGAAGAGTAATGGTGATAGAACACAGCTTTGTCTGACACCGGATGTCACTTTGTGAACCAGTCAGTGTTTCTTAAACAGCTCAGACTATTTTCGTATACATGTAGTGTCTTTGTTGTTACGAGGACTAAGGAGTAGGTCTTTTACTCCATTTTCTTTCAACGTCTGCCACAGCATGCCCCTGTCGACTCGGTCAAATGTCTTCTCCTGATCCACGAACACTGTGTCCAGGTCTCTGCTGTGTTCTATTGCTCTCTCACATACGTGTCTCAGTGACAGATGGCGTCTGTGCATCTCTTTAGCTTTTTAAATCCAAACTGCATGTTTCTCAGTGGTTTCCCTTTACTATGTGTTTTACTCTACGCTCAATGATTTTTGGCATATAGGCCTATATAAATATTTCCAAAATGACTAAGTAGTGATATCCCCACAATACTTTTTGTTGCTCTTCTTTTTCCACATTGGTACTACGATGCTGTTCTAAAACTTATTAGTACATAATATGTAATCTTTTTTATGTCTCCAGCCACAATGTACACAGCGACCCTTTTCTACACTTTCCTTGTGGCAGCCTTTTCAGCAACGTTTGCCCAAGGTGAGCTGAAAAATCCAGTTTTTTCCTCTTCTTGATTTCTATCTTATGACGTCTAGGCAATTTCTTTTGAAAACGCTGGTTACAATAATATGAGGTCAAGCTTGTCTTCAGTAAATAACATTCCTACTGTTTCGAACTTTGCAATTGTTTTTGTTGTCGTTGCTATTGTCAATGTTGTTGCTGCTATTAATATTGTTATTATTGTTGATGTTTTTGTGAGCATAATTTTTTTGTCGTCGTTGTGATGCTCTGTTGTTGTTTGGCGTGTGTGTGTGTGTGTGTGTGTGTGTGTGTGTGTGTGTGTGTGTGTGTGTGTGTGTGTGTGTGTGTGTGTGTGTGTGTGTGTGTATGTTTGTGAATGTGTGTGTTTGTGTGTGTGTGTGTGTGTGTATGTTTGTGTGAATGTGTGTGTTTGTGTGTGTGTGTTTGTGTGTTTGTGTGAGTGTGTGTGAGTGTATGTGTGTGTATGTGTGTGTGTGTATGTGATTGTGTGTGCGTGCTCGCGCGCGCGCGTGTGTGTGTATGTGTGTGTGAGTGTGTGTGAGTGTGTGCGTGTGTGTGTGTATGTGTGTGTGAGTGTGTGTTTGTGTGTGTGTGT